GCAAAAGAAAGCCCAAAACTTAATACTTGTTGTAGATATAACAATAACAATAACAATATAATAATAAGCATCGTTCAATTTAAGGCATTTGTTTTGAGCTCAACGTGCAGATGAGCTCGTGAATTTGTCTTTTCAAGATCGCAGTTTCCACGGAATCAACATAGGTTCTTTCTGATGTGTAAGCTCTCAAACATGTCAACCAGTGGAAGTCGGGTTTAGAATACCTTCTTTGAACCTTCCCTCAATGTTTGAAATCCACTCGTTCTACTTTCTTCCTTAAAATTTGAGCATTTTCAATGCATACCTGGTCGCCTTATAGAAACGCTGTTTGAGGTGGGTCATCATAATTATTGTTAAGTAATTAGTTGTGACGAGAGAACCTGATTCAGCCAGTTTGCAAGTTTGCGATCTTAATTTATATTTCAGACCCATAAACGGTGTTTCATCATACTTTCGGGAGGCAACACGTTCTCAAATCCGGATGAGTGCAATTAGCCGAGGCAACAGTGACCACAGTGCTATTTCGTACATTATTGTGCTTTACAGGGCTGTCAACCATCGTCGTCCCAACTTGGAAGGTTGTTTACATCTGAGTGACTATAAGTTTGGGATACTATGAATTTTCCCATTAAAGGCATGAAAATTTTTGAGGGCTCTATAATTCCGGAAATTCCCATTTGGAATAGGGATAGAGATGGGTTGACAAACATATTTTCACCAAGGTCTTTTCAACTCATATATTTGTAAAGTCCAACACAGCAATTTTTAATGGTGCTCATGAAACGGGAAGCCGAATGAGAATTGGCTTACTGTCATGGAACAACTCGACCAAAAGAATGGACTGCGTTTGTCAGCGCGGACGGTACTATAGTTGTGTGTTCAGCACAGGATATGTGGAGATGAGCTGGGACTTGGCAAATCCAACACACAAACGAAGCATTTTGCCGACAAAGGATGGAGGTGCGATATCCTAAGTCACTAGCCTTACCCATTGCTATCTGGGTTGGGTAGCAATCACCTTGTAAACAATACGGGCTGGGTATCACACCGTGCTCCGTTTCTGCTGCATGAATGATCTGGTTGTGGTCTTCCTAGTTCTAAAAACCAGACAGCGTGGATTGTAGTCCGTCATTCTTTGGCCGAGTTAACAAAGTGTATTTATCCGAGCTTTTTTTCCAAACGAACCGTTCCTACTAGGAAAGAATGGTTTTTATGGGGAACTGGAGCAGCTTAATCCATAATTTTCAGTCCAAAATGTCCACACTCTGGATACTTGTTCTACGTTGAGGAAACCAACAATGGAGTGCAATAATTGGGGAGAAAATTTGTCACACTCTTGCGTCCCTACCTGTAAGAAAATAAAATAAAATTCTCCATGAAATGTACACAGACATACTCAGTGCCGCAGGCAAGTAATCAAATTTTTGCGATGGATATGATCAGTAAAGCTGTAGTTACGTCAATGTATACACACTTATGTTATTTAGTGGACTTGTGACAGGTGGTTTTTTGGAGTAATGGTGCATTATATGGGCACACAATACTCCTTCTCGATTGGAATAACATCCCGGAGTACCTAATCTCTGTTGATGAAACGAATAAGGACCATGTTTATATGACTGATACAAAGATTGCACTAAGACTTACATTTACATTTGGAAACAGCCAGAGAACTGCACACCAGATTTGGTGAGCATAAGAGGAGGATAATCGGACCACCAAGGAATGCGGAAGAACACCAAGTGTTGGTTAAAGACTCAGAGATGACAGAACGTGCGTTGGACACAGGACATAAAACAGATACGGGGATGCCCTGTAGAAGTCTCTAGAAGTCTTTAGACTGTGATTCTTACCATAGTGGCTAATGGCTGAGGCTGTGGGAATTACAAGCATCACAGCATGGGTAGAATCGAGGGCGTGGGACTAATTGTCTATGAAGACCGGTTTTAGATAAGCTGAATTGACACGTGACTGTGGGTATTTGTCACTAGATATAATATTATCAGCAAAAAGGGGGGAGGAAGCTTGACCCGACTGAAGTTCTGAGAGATCCTTTCCCTTGCATAACTGTCGTCGCACTAGCCTATTGACAGAGGCGGACAAAAATTGTCTACAACGTTCAAGAGAGATCTTCACGCAAAGCGAACTGGAAGAACTAGACCCTAAGCTGGGTTCAAACCCATTTTTGTTCCCCATCGGTCTAAACACTGGGTGATCCGCCCTAACGAAAGAAATCCTTTAGTCGACACCTAACGCTGGTTTAGCCCGACTTAACTGATTGGTTGTCCTCCCGCCTTAAATCTCAACCAATCTCGTAACCTAGTCACTTGGTCTGATGAAGTTTCAATCTCAAAAGCTAGGCGTTACCTAGCAATAAATCTACTGAGTGTTCCCCGAACTCTTACAAAAAAACCTCTGATGTTTAAATAACGTTCCATCCAAAAGGAAGCCACCATCTGTCGGAACTTGTATCGCCTTCATGGTCCACGTTACCATTTATCAGAGTTTATTCAAAAAAGCCCCTATACGGATGGCCAGTGTGTGGTACACTCACTGCAAAACAAGTGAAATCAATTGATTACCTTCTCTTACAGTAGCGGTATGCTCATGTGCACAGGCCAAAATCAAGGTTGCATCAAAACTCAAGCAATATAAAAACCATCCTCGTGAATTAGACATTGTCTTTGCCTCTTCGATTTATCAAGCTGTAACCTATTCCCAGAGAAACATGTGTCTTGGAGATTTTAACTGGATGGAAGTGGTTTCAGTTTTGCTGGTTGAGTTGCTCTGTTGTGTAATGTTCTCGAGGTACAAGCGGGAACCTATTTTCAGGCCTCAGAGACAAGTACTGGTGTTCGAATTGCTCATCCACTAGTAACCCAATGATCTCTGATGACGTTTTCATTTGTCACTCTGTATTTAATTGTAGGTGTTTAAGGCCCCTGGGATAATTTTACAAACCCCAAACCAGCATCTGAACCTTCGACGCCACAACAATCTAAATGTTCCTCGTATGTCGCTAGAAGCAGCTACTTTTAAGAATTCCAGTTCAATAACAAACAGTCAATTGCAAACGCCCAACTACTGCACATTTTTAGTGTTTATGCGCGAAATATTGGGAATTTGAGTTGATTGAGAATATATCAATTTCTGGCTTGGCAGTACACAAGTATAACCTATTATTGATGTTTATCACAAGATGATTACAGCCAGAACGCACTCTGGGAATAAGCATATCACAGGAGTGAACGTCGAAGAAGTCATGGTTTGAAGTATAACTTTGTCACCTGGCACATGTAAGGATCTAAGAAAAAGCCATCGCGAATGGGTTTAAATCGTACTGAATAGTTGACACGTTTGTTCAAGATCAAGCAATATACCACACTTCAAACACATACAAAAACTGCAGAGCGCTGCCAGATTCTTGTTATGTTGGTGCCAAAAACTTGCTGCCTCCTTCTCCATAAATGTTGTTTTTAACAGGAGATAACCTTCATAAAGGAAACTACTCACAAGGTTGCTGAAAACTTTTCGACAGCCCACGACCTATTTCGCCCTTCTTGGGGCTCATCAGGTAGGCACAGACCCCGAGTTTCCGTTGACCATATGTTCTACTTGAACCCGAATTGGACTGTTTTCGAGAAATACATTCAGTTGCAAACCAATTTGGTTTTCAAGACTCATTCATTCACAATTCATTGTATAGACTTAATACTCTTCTCCTAACGTTGGTAAAAACTCATCGACATCGTTAATGAGCGATTCAGCTGGGGTCAGGCGAGTCTCTTGTCAGCGCGCAGTTGATATACAAATGAGCGTATTTCGCTAATTTCGTGTCATTTGGGTTGAAATGGGACACCTGTTTGACAGGGAGGATAATCGGCGACTGCAACCACCTAATGAGCAAGCCCCAAGAAGAACGTAAATGGTCGACGTTTGTCGAACAGTTTTCAGCAACTTCGTGAGTAGTGTATTACCGATATACACTGGTTGATTTGACACTATAGCACACTGATTTCCCGCCATAAAACTCCTTTGGGAAGCTCTCTAGATTAAACAAATGCCTTTCATAAATTTACGGGCAGATTCTGTTCCCATTTTTTTCAAGAACACGTTCGTTTTCAATTTGCAGACAGCCATTCGGTTTCCGCTCGAATAAACAGTGTTTTCCGTAATAATCATGGCTGAAACACAGACACTGCTGGTGCTCCGTTGATCGGATTTTCCGATACGTAACATTAGAAACACGCTTCAACGATACTGCTCGAACGCAATTTTTCAGACAGAAATTCCCAAAGATTTCCGTGACTTTACTGGTTGGTTTCAAGCTGGGAATAATCTGTCTCTTTTACCAGACAGTTAACTGTGAAAATGGAGTGATTCAGTGGTCCATTGATGATAATAGTAATAGTAATAATTCACCAGATACTTTCATTTGCAAGCGGATCTGGTTCCAATTGGAATGTGTTTAATGTGCTACACCAGGTCTCCACAATTCTCAGCAACCTTATAAGTAGTGCGATATCTCGAGTGCCCCAGGCTGTGCCTGGGGCGGCACATCCAGTTGAATAAGAAGTTGAGGAAACTGGACTTAGTTGATACTCCTTTCAAAACTAAATTCGTATGCAAATGACAGCGCTGCCGAATTCCGTCCAGTTGGTGTCCAAGTCGAATAAAAGGTTACATGATGACAGAAGAAGGGCGAAATCTGTCGAGGGCTGTCGAGAAGTTTTGGGCCTGTTATGCCCACAAGTAACAGTGATTTTTGACAATCGTGCATAGAAGCATTCAGCGTTTAAATTCGTTTCCAAACAGCGTTTGGCTGATAGACGTAAACGTCTGCATCTAGTCTCCCTGAACCGTTTGTCCTCAAATTCACTAGGACAATTTTTGACCCAAGAGTAACAAACTGCTGGTAGAAAAAATGCGTCAAAGCATCTAACTGATAGCAGCAGTCTAGCAAAATACACAATCACTCAATTAGTCGATCAATTACTTACAGCATGATCGCTTTCTTGCTATCAGGCTCCAAAAGGTCGGTTGCTCCTAGGTCGGCCAGACAAGCGCCAGCCAGCTTCTCGCACATGGCTTCACCGAGTAATTGTCGATGAGATAGTGGCAACATTGAAACGATGGAGTTTTACCGTACGTAAAGCATCTTTAATGGTCATCCAGTGTTGCTCAGGAATCGACCCGTGTTTGTTTCTGTTTGCCTGCCTTAACTGCTTACCATATGTTTTGCACAAGTTCAAAGACTGTTTAAACATAGCAATGGACCAACCATGGCCAGATTGTAAACTTGTCTTCTCCTCGCTCGTACTCGTCAACACACCTGGACACACATTTCAACTAGTTAATGCAGTGTACTCAAGCTCTTATATTTTCACAGACAGACGCTTGAAGTCTTTGTAAGCCCGATCAGAAAGAATAACTTCAATTTCCTCTTTGGATATGGTTAGATAAACCATTCTCATCTTCGTGTAGGTAGTTGTGTGAAGGGGGACCTACTCTGTAATTGGCTAGAGGCTTCCATTGAGGCCATGAAATTCTGCATCAACGTCTTCACATTAGCTCTACAGTAACCGAGCACTTCGTGAATGAACACATCGCTACAAAATACAGAGTACTGTTCCTAAGTTCTCCATCGAGTATGCGTTTTTCGGACCGTAAAAAAATTTCAGCGGTACTTCAATGGGTTCATATAAATACCGTCCGATTTCTGTTTTCCACCAGAGCGACAGATGCTGAAATCTTGCCCCCCTTTCATATTTGGTCGCAATAAACTCAGGAGCCCTTTATTTCCCATCAACCATAGGAAAACAATGCGATAAGAAATCTAATAGAAACGCTCTATGGCCTCATTGGCCACAATTTCACACGAATTTATTGCCTGACAGAGCGTCGGCCCAAACGAAGAGTAGATTGGTGTCACCACTAACGAGCCGTCTGCCTCTTCGTCCTGACGGTCCGAACTTAGGCAGATGAGAAAAGAATATCACAAAACTTTAGTTTATCAGGCAGACTTCAGTAGCAGTTTTCTTCATCTAATATATGGCGAGTTTTAAAATCAACAGAATAAGATGCTATAGTCGCAAGCTTCGGTTGCCCTGGCCAAACTTTTTCAACAACTATAGTCAACTGGTACAAGTGGAGTGGCGATCGTGTCTTTTGATTGGTGCATTCTTGTGATCATTCGGCAACCAGCGTGTGTGGGTATTATCCCTGTGCTCGTGTACGCGTGATTGTTCTTTGACTGGGATGTGCCTCTATCTGTTATTGTGTTGGTTGTGGCGATTGCGGCCTACATCTGACTAGTTAGCCTAGCGAGATGTTATCTCTGTGCTCGTGTACGCGTGATCGTTCTTTGACTGGGATGTGCCTCCATCTGTTATTGTGCTGGTTGTTGCGATTGAGGCCTACATCTGACTAGTTAGCCTAGCGAGGTGTGCAGTATTTCCAAGCTAGATAGACAGAATGCTGGCGTCATCAGTTCGGTTGTGTTGATCCCCAGAGTTTCAGAGCACGCCCGTTGCACGTATGGATCCTGACTGGACTATGCGGGTACCATGGGAGTTGAATTGGTGGCTTGACTAAAATAAGTGGAATGGAGTGGAGTGGTTGGGTGGCTTTCAATTTTTTAAAAACTCGATTGGGTTTCGTGGAGAATGACGCGTATGTCGTTTGTGCTCCGTGATTCGTACACTCAGTTCCATGCTGTCTGGCCTTCGTATTTGGCCAGGCATTCTGCACAGGGAATTCGGTGAACGCCTTTTGTGTGGTGTTTCGGTTCGACATGGTCCTTAGCCCTACGCTGTGTTTTGACTTTGAAACTTCTATATTATACACCAGCCAATTTCGCCCCAAACCTAGTGGTGATTTCCTAATCTTTGTCTGGACGACTTGAAAACAAGAGTTCATTTACGTTTAACCGACCAGTACAGTCCACTGTTATGCCAAAAAACTAGAATAGTTTGCAAAATTTCAAATTGAACAACTGAATGGACACATTTATCTCAGCGAAACATTGCATTACGCTTTCGTATATCACGAAATACCTTAGTGCGCTTAACCAAACCGCTCCTTCAACTAATGCTTGGGAAAAGCAGTGCCACGCCTTTGTGAGGTTTCTATATTTAGACTGCTGTTTTAAAGTGTCAGATGAATACCTCGGATCGGAAGTGAACTGCGTTCAGCTAGGCATTTGATGCTCACAGTTACTCTGTTGAAGACAGGACGGATGGTCGGAAATCTCAAGCCAAGTTTGGAATGGAAAAAAGTTCGATAGTAGTTTTGTTAATCATTTGAGCTTTCTTGATGCTTCCCAGTTCGCCCTCCCTCCTCTGTAAATGTTTTTAACAGTGTGAGCTGCACACCAGAATCGATCAGTATGAGCGACTCATAGAGAGACTGTGGATGAATATCAGACGATAGTCAAGAACATTGGGGACAGATAGATCTGGCAATGTGAAATTTCGAGACCAGGACTAAGATTCACAACATTCCGATTGGTAGCCGAAGGAGTAGAAATCGCCAAGCATCGCTGCGTGAAAAGAATGGGAAGCGTAGCACTGGTAAACGTGTGGAGAGCGGTTTTAGATCAGTCCAGATGAGGTGAGACAGTGTGCATTTTTTATTGGAATGGTTTTCTTCTAAAAGTACAGAACCCAAGGATAGTTAGTCCACTAAATCCACCCCTCAACCCTTGTCCAATTGTGCTTGCACCTCGCCCCCCTTCAACAAAATCTGAGAGTTAAACGCAGGAGGAATTTTCCATCGAACGCTAGGCCCCAAGATTAAACTTGATGACAAGCCACCCTATGTACGCTAACCAACAAACGGGGGCCTCAGACTAACAAGCACCACTGGTCAAATTAGTTATTCGCAAGAAATCTCACCGATGGGTTCTCTGAACAATTTACCGGTCAACCTGGTAAATTATTCACGTTACCTGACGAGTCTTTTATGTCAAAAACGAAACGTTGCCCGGCAGTAAACACACTGATTGTTTACCAAATCTCTCTGTAACTGGACGAATCTTTTTACACATGAAGAAGTGGAGTTCTCTTGGTTAGCGGTATTGCAGAATCTTGCGAAGGCTTTATTAACTAGCTGGTCACACAGCCTGTGACACCTTCTTGAGGTCTGCAGTAAAATATGCCTCAAGTAATTCATGGTGAACGGTAAATCATTTTCAGATGGCAACAGCGAATATGTGTGCCAGTCGGCGTCCGAATGATTAGACCTCAAGAGCAAACAGTCAATGATGGCTCTAGCTGATGGATCTGTTAGCCGAAACATGACTTGATTGAGAGAGATCATGGATGTCGTGAACAGCTCCATCTATTGTTCCGTAATTCAAGCATTGACGATACACTAGATACAATTACAGACGAGGCGGGCGTCAATTCAGGCAATCAGGAAATCCAATACAAGCAGCATGCACAGGAACGCAGGGAATCAAAACTGCAAAGTATGAAGTGTGACCGACCGAACTTCCGAAGGATCCGTGTCTGCCCAATAGAATGCCTGCAAACCTTCCAAGCATGGTCACTTTGGAAAACGACACCAAGAGAAAACAGTGTGCCAGATTCCATGGCGTTATCTAGACGCAACACACTACTCATGAGTTTTCAAAAAACCCTTTTTCAGTCCGCGAACGGCTTCGCAAATCTTAGGGCTCCTCAAGTAGGCGAAATCTCTGAATTTTCGTCTACATTTGTTCCAGGTGAATCCAACTTATGCCCTCAGTCATTCGCAAACGAACTCGGTTCTGACAGGAAACACAGCTACACTGAATCCAATCCAACCTCTAGTTCATGCTGGTCTACTTCAAAGCCGGATTCGAACACAAATGAGAGCATTTGGCGACTTCATTCCAATTTTGGTCCAAGGGACTCGGGGACTGCACCTACTTGATGAGCCCCAAGAAAGGTAAAACCGATCGCGAGCTGTCAAAAAGTTTTCAGCAATCTTACGAGCGTTGTGTCACACCTGGGTGCACCCTAGTATTAAAACACAAATAAATAGAAGCCTATATATTCATAAAGTAAACTACTCACAAGGTTGCTGAAAACTCTCCGACAACCCACGATCAGTTTCGGGCTTCTTTAGGCCAATCAAGTAGATGCAGTCCCCGGGTTTCCTAAACCTATATTGTTTGACTACGATACGGCCGAACACCATCATTCTTAACTGGAGTCTGCGAAAAACAACGTATCCGGATGATAGTGATGGAAATAGAATTTGCTGGCTTTATGATCATTTTGGGGCTTAATAGCTACAGAAACACTATCATTCGTAACTGGAGTCTGCGAAACACAACGTATCCGGATGATAGTGATAGAAATAGAGTTTGCTGGCTCTATGATCATTTTGGGGCTTAATAGCTACAGGACTCACAAAACATCATACGTTGCCCCGACGGGGTGCGGCACCGAATGGCGGGCAGTTAGTCCAGGGTTTATCAAGGATTGATAGATCCAACATTTTCCCAGGTCTCTTACTAGGTCGACGGCAAACTAATCCATTCCACTTGACAGATCTGATTTTCCCTAATCAGTGGATAAGTTTATTTTTCCAGTACTTATCGTGTAGTTTTTCAACTACTCATAATTCAAATAAACTTGTGGCGCCAGTATCTATTTGACTGCGCGGTTTGACTACGGCCGAAGCCGTTTATGCATTTGCGAAAGCCACTACTGTGTTGTCAAAATCGATTCATGCGATCGCTTAGCCTGCCTTGCGCATGTTACACGAATTGACCGACCAAATCGCTCAACGGTCCTCTAGATGGGGTGCGCCACGGTTTCCGCGGTTTCACTAACCGATCTTAACTGCCTGCTTCATTTTCCACGCTATTATAACCATGAAATTTGTACTGAAGTTTGACGAGCTTTCGAGAACTAATGTACGTTAGTGTGTTCTCGCTCAAATCTAAATCAGCGATATCAAAGAATAAGATGCACTCTAATCAATGTCATCATCATAATCGACAGCGTGACATCAGTTTTTAACACCGCTGCTTCAATGCCGTATGTAACCAATGTAAGAGTGAGTGAATTATCCTGTTTAGTATACGCAACTGACTTTACTGGCACAGCGTGACGTTTTTAACACCGCTGCTTC